ACAATTTTCTTTAATGACGTTTTGACCTCTAGTTTTCGATTTTTTTTTCAAAAATATTTTATGAAACTAAATTTTTATCCATTTTTTTAAAAAATTATTTTCAATTTCATTTCCAATCTATTTTTTCTTAATTTTACATTAAATAAAATTTTATAAATTTAAAATTTATATTTTTATATATTTTATTAAATTTTAAAATTAATCACAGGTCAAATTTTTTGTCCCAATATTACATTAAAATTATTTTTGTATTAAGAATTATATTGTACATAATTTATAGTCTATTAAAAATTAAATTCTATTTTTATATGTAAAAAATTTAAGTAGATAAGTAAATATATAAACTATCATATGAATTTTATATTTATACTTTAAATTTTAAATAGATAACGATATATAAAAACTTTGTCTTGATACAACATATATAATCATAATTAATTATTGCACATTATTTTTATTTTTAAATTTTAAAATAAAAAATAGAAAATATAACTTTTTATATATTCCTTTTATAAATACTTCTCAGAACTAAAAATTCTAAGGTGTTTATAAATCTTTTTTTTTTATTTTTAAATTTTTAGGTAAAATTTTAATTAACCAATTATTAAAATAATTAATAAAACCCCGCAATCAAACTCATAAAACCCCGCCCTGAAACCATGGCTTCCATGGCCTGTTTAAATTCTTCTGCCCCTGCAACCCGTTCCAACCGGCGTGTCAAACTCAACGTCGGCGGCAAGCTCTTCGAAACCACAGCCTCCACCATTGAATCCGGCGGTCCGGATTCGCTCCTCGCGACTCTCTTGAACCGGCCGCTCAACGAGCTGGACCCGGTCTTTATAGACCGGGACCCGGAAATCTTCTCGGTCCTCCTCTCTCTTCTTCGGTCGAACCGCCTTTCGTCCGCTGCCCGCCGTTTCTCCAAGCAGGAACTCGCCGACGAGGCGCTCTACTACGGCGTCGAGTCCCGTCTCCGCTCGGCGATGTCCCCGGTGCCGCTGAAAGGTGCAGACGCATCCCTCGTGACTACCATTCTCCCAGCAGCCGATGGTCTCGTCTCCGCATATACTGCTGACGATGAAGACGGCTCCCTCTGCGTGGCCCACGGTGGCCAGATCTCCTTATATGATTGGAATCTCTCCCACGCCGGCACCGTACGTACACACCTCGATGAAATCACCTCGATACGCCGCATCTGGCCTGAGATTGCCGCGGTGGGGTCCGAATCGGCCGCGGGGCTCCATTTCTACGACCTTTCCAAGGCGCGCCGCGTAGGGGCGGCCCACTGGAGGGACCCCTCGGATCCGAGGATCTACAAGGCCCGAGTCGCCGCCATCGCCGATTCCCCTGGCTCGGTTTTCGCGTCGTTCGACTGCCCGCACAGGGAAAACTGCGTGCTCCTTATAGACAAGTCAACGCTGCAAATCTCGTCGACTCTCGGACGGCAATCGGGCAGCTGCGTGAAGACCATGGTCCCAGGAAAACTGACATGGTTGCCGGCTGATGGGCTGCTTGTCGGGAGCGCGATCGTATCAGGAGCTTTCGGGTATTCCGGGTACATCAGGTTGTGGGATTCCAGGCTTGATAAAGTAGTATGGGAAACGAACGAACCGGGGTCAGGACGGAGCAGCAGGTTCGGCGACTCATTTGCCGATGTAGGTGTGGACGTGGAAGGGATGAAGCTGTTCAAGGTTTGTTCAAAGTCCGGCGACGTGGGTATGGCGGATTTGCGTAATTTAGGGGATGATCCTTGGGTATATTTGCATGACAAGAACCCAAGCATGAGAAGCAGTGGCGGTGGCGAGGACTGCGTGTTGCACTGTTTACAGGAAGCAAGTGTTTCTGGGAAGAGATGGGGAACTAGAGGTCTGGTCAAGAGTAGCCGAGGAAGGAGATAGTGAGAATTTGTACAGGAGAAATTTTATGGATAAAGTGGAGGACATGGAAAGAGGAGTTATAAAAAAGATTGAAGGTGGTGGGAATAGGTTGTTTCTTAGTAGGGAAGGTGTTGAGGGGATAGAAGTATGGGAAAGCTCTAACTGTTCAGGTGCAATTTCTGTACTAACGCCAACAATCAACAGCAAACAACCGATAAAGAAGAAGAAGGAAACTTTTTGAGTTTTGGTTCGAGGTCAGAAATGGGTTACAAGAGGGTCGAGTCTCTGTGTGTGTTATAATTTAGACATGTAAAACTCATCTGTATATAATGTTGATACCAACAGTCAACAGATAGGATAGTCTGAGAGTTCCCTAATTTCTCATGTGATGACGAACCTTGCCTCCATGGTTTACATGTATAGGGAGATATTCTTTTACTGCAATTCTGCAATGGTGCATCAATTGGTTTGGTTGAGTTTAGGTAGGGAACACTGAAGCAAATCATATGTTTCTGTTCCAAAAGAATACCAAGGAGGAAAGGTAATTTCCTATGGTGTTACTATTAGACGTTGGCTGTAATGTTCAATGCAAGTCTACCTTATGCTCTTTGCCACAGGTTACACAAGTGATTGATTAGTCCAAACATCACTATTATAAACAGGATGAATTTAGGGCTTGGAGCTAACCGGAAAATTTCTTGAGGGATTTTGTAAAATGGATATGGTTACTGGGCAACTTCCACTTCGGCATGTGGGTGTCCAAGCTTTCTACTCATTTAACTTGGCAGCATTCTTGATGGAGACTACATCAAACGTTGTGCGTCCCATTCTGGGAGTTATGAGGTATATCATTTGAATGAAATTAGCTGTTTTGTTTCACTCACCTTTCCTGAGTTTTTCATGGTAATAGTGATAACATTCTGTAAATTAACTCCTTACCCTAACCTAACCAGGAAAAAAAATCTGGCCTTGTAGAACTCCGTGCAACAATTTGGAATTATATCCTGAATCCTACTCTGTGGAAGTAGGTTAAAACACTGCTTCCAATATCATATATTTAAGCACCTTTTTCACTTACTAAGACAACAAATTCTAGGAGTCTGATTGAATCAAGAGGTTAATACTAGCTCTAATTGTGGAATTCCTTGGTCATAACAGAGAAGAACCTTCAATTAGGAGGAAACTCGTGGCTGGTCAGGCTGGATCTTACTGGTTTTTAACATTATAAGTTAGTAGTGAGTATGATAGAGAGAACCTAGGACTTTAGAGTTGAGAGGAAGCTACATTTTCAAACCATGTACTTTGTCCTTCAACGAAGTCTTGTGGGAATTTGTGGATAATCCGGCAACTCTCTAGAATAGACATAGAAATCATGTAACCATCACAAGCTGGGAGTATTAAATTTGAGAATTGGATATCTTGTTATGTACCAATATTTAAGGAACAAGTGTTTCAAAAACATAATCTAGCATTTAAAACACCCTAGAGGTTACTTTTAATGCTGTAAGTTCGAACTGTATCCTTTAACGTTTGCATATTACATAGAATCTGTGTTCTTGATGTCATACCGATAGCAGGAAGGCTTGACGGCTGCTTGTTTTGGCGTTACAGGCTCACCTTATCTTGTCTTGTGGCACCACAAAGGGACATGGTGTCTGAGTTATCAACAATTATTAGTAAGAATCCTCTTTTTAGCAGGAAGACACCGCACAGCTACTGGGTATTTGACATTACTTACTGGTGCTTTTTGTTATGACAGCCTTAATAAGGTGATAGTGCTTTAGAGAGAGTATTTGCTACGATTTTTGGCTGCCCTTTTCGTGGTATCAAAACACGACGTAGCCAAACGAAAGAATTAAAAGTGCTTTTGGCTAACGGTAAAGCTCAAATTTAATTTTACGAAATACAACAGCCTTTGTTTTTAGATAGCTCCAATTTATGCAATTATTTTTTATAAACATAATATAATTTTCTATAAAAAATATTTTTATTAAAAAATTATTTAAAAAGAACTTTTCTCAACACAAACAACAAACTTTAGAAGGTTATATAGCAGAATACAGTTTTGGCGCCGGATAAAATTGAATTTGTCTCACTGTTAATAGACATAAATGACAAATTGTTAACCAAAATATGATTATTTGACCCTATATGGCTCTTGTATTTGGACCTCATCAACCATACAATTAACTGAATGGTATTTTCCGCCATCCTACATTTAAATTCATGTCTGAAAAAACTCCAACAATTATATGTAAAATGACAATAAATAAATATCGCGGTATTGAACTGTCACCAAAAATAGAAATGAACATCATAACTCATGTCCACTGCATAGGGAAACATATCTGAAGTTTGATCTTCATTTCATCTTTGTCTAAACAAGAAACATATCATGATCAAGAAATTTGTAGAATATTATTCTACGTTGTTATTGATAGCTAAATATTTCGACATCACGGGGGTCATTACACTCTGCATGAGCGAAATCCCAGTATGTAATTTACTGCCTCGACCCCTGTTCTTTTATTCCAAAACTTTGAACTTCTATTTGGTCAGAAGATGCGGAGAAAATTAATTATTACAGGGTGGAAAAAAACAGTAAAGTGAATGGTAAACGGCAGGCAGTTCAGGATGAGTTCAACATTCTTCATGGAAATAGAGGACAAAAAGGAAAAATATCTGAAGAAAGGAATGGGAAAGCAAACCAACTAGTTTAGAGCAACATGGACTCTGGATTTTCTATGTAACCTTTAAATGCTTTCAGCCATTCCGCACCAACTGCACCTGTAAATTAAAGCGAGAAAACATCAATTGGGTTACGCCAGAATTAAGTTTATTAAACATAAATTGCTCATTCAGAACTACCTACCATCTATTACACGATGATCACAGCTTAGTGTTACAGACATGAAGGAAGCAAATTTGAACTGTTCAGAACCAGTGCCAGGGACAACCCTCTTCTCAGCTGTTCAAGATAGCAATGGTATTAGCACTTATAATGTGACTCAGAAGAGAATGAAATTGGTAATCAGGAGCATTGATCTTTACAAGTTCCAACTGCAAGAATTGCTGCCTGAGGAGGATTAATGACAGCACAAAATTGTTTGATACCAAAAGGACCTCCCAAGTTGGACACTGTAAACGTGCCACCCTGCAGAAAAGAATGACAAATTTTTTCAGGCTATCGGTTCAAATTTATGTTGTTCATGTTCTTTTTTCAAACTCTTAATTATTTGATATGTAAATTAATTATAATTCATATATATGAAATATAATAAAACTAATGTCACTCATTTTTTAGTTACATAATGATGAAGCTATATTTTCACTTGTTGAGGAGATGCAAAAAGAATTTGAGTGGATATACAAAAGTCATGAAATCAAAATGACATTTACATACAAAATTTTGTCCGATTCATATTACACCTCCATTCCTATTCAATTTAACTGAATTTTGAACCAAAAACAACCTTAATCAAATGCTCCTAATTAGTGAGGCCAACATAGGTCCTACCTCAAAATCTTCTGGTTTTAAGCTGTTCTCCTTTGCTTTTTGGGCCAAGTACCTGACCTCTTCTGCAATTTTGGACAAACCCTTCTTGTCTGCATCCTGAAATTGACACCACATAGTTCTAAGTTATATGTACCATTAAATCAGAATGAAATTAAGGGCTTGCTCACCTTGACAACGGGGACAAAGAGTCCATAATCTGTCTGCACTGCTACATTGATATTCACATTTTTATACCTAAATAGAGGATTTAAGTAAGGACAGCGACATGGAACAGGTACAATGAATCAATAATAATGATACTCACTGGCGGATATAGTCATCTGTCCATGACCTATTACATTGAGGAACTTTTCGAAGAGCCAAAGCTGCAGCCTGCAAATTTCAGAAAGCATAAATATAGCCAGCCAACCAATGATAAACCAGTCTCAAATTGATGCACAACGGGTTATGCCTAACTAGATTTAAATGTAAAACTACTGTAATATTTAGGAGTATATTATTATAGTTTTGATAACTTTAGAATTTTATTCTTTTTAGTATTTAGATTTCTTATTTGTTTTAACATTTTTTATTTATACTAAGATTAGTATTCCTAAAATTATTAGTAACAGTTTTCTAGTCTTATTAGTTCACTATTTCCTAGTTTAGTTCTACTTAGAATAAGTTACTTAGAAAACACTATAAACATACTTGTAATTTCAGTTCTTTGGATAACATTCAAGTTATTCGATACAATATTTCAATATTATCTCAATTTTCTGATTACATGATGCAATCAAAACCTTAAGTGTGATGCTTGAGAATTTTTAAATATTATGTTTAAGAAACTCTAGCTGTAATATTTAGGTTTTTTTCTGCCAAAATCACTAATTGGATTAATCAATCCTATTTGTCTTACATCAGTAACAATAATCTAGGTGTCAAGTATTTGCAACTTTGTTTCTATACAATTAAGTTCCAGACTCAAATTTCAGAGTACAAAACAACAAGTGTATGCTAAAAGCAAGGCATAAGAGAGCTTCCTTATGGAATTGAATAGCTTAAGCAAAAATTTCAAGCTTATATGTTTTCATAAATACTTCCTGTGATAATAATTGTCATAATGGAAAATAGCAAATATTAACTTGCAGAAACAAGGCTGGATTGATGGCAGGTCATGCACAGGCAGTTGATCTCCACATTACATTTTGAATCATCAACTCATCAGTAGAATCTAAAGATGTAATTGAGAGTAACCATCAAATCATCAATAGAACCTGAAGATGTAATTGAGAATACCTAAAGTGATCATAGCAAGTACTAAACATGCTCCTAATCAGTTTCCAATATGAATTTAACATGAGGTGATAGTTAGCAATACACAATTGACTTGGAGAATCAAGAAGCTCAAGTTATGTACATGGGGAGTTGTATACCTTAATTACAAGATCATTTACTGACACGCGCTTGCCACCAGAAGCTTCTTGTATTGAGTTCAGTTGGCTCCTTAGACTTTAGCCAAAAAATAGATTGTTGTGTCAGTAATACCAAAGTACATCTTAAATTTTGTGGATAGGACAATTATACTTACTGCATAAGCTTGTCAACACATATATCTACTGTAAGATAATAATGGGGGATAGTTTGCTTCGAGAGTGATAAACGGGAAGCTATAACCTGTCAAAATCATACCATTAACTTCAGGAGTAGATAGAGAACAACAGATACTAGCTTGTAAATGAAGGAATGTGCATTATATTGATCCACAGAGAGAGAGAGAGAGAGAGGTGCATTATAGAAGTCACAGCTGCCATCAATTTGCAAGTAAGAAGTTCTGAAGGCTATAATACAAGGAGAACCAACAAAATGCTTAATTCAAAAGCAGAGAAAGATAAGACAACAAGAAATATCATCGTTTAGCAAACATCAGCTAGCTCCCTCCGATGCTCCCTTGAGCTTGATTAAAATAATTAAATTTCAAAACAACCAATCCCTAAAATTCAGGGAAATGAAAGTGGTGGTAACTCTACACTGAGCTCATAGAATAAAGCCCAAACTTCATAAATGATAATTAGTCCACCTGTTACCTTTCTTATTTGAGAAGGCGGGGTGTCTATGTAATCCAAAACCGGAGCTTTCATATCTTTAGCTTTGGGAGTTGTCGCTGAAACGCCTTTCTTGCTGGAAGCTGTATCACAAGGAAAACAAAATTACCTAGAGATGACAATTGAGTAAGGATTAATCGGGTCTGTTAGTTCTAGGGTATTCAGGTCATTAGCTCATTCAATTCTTAGGTTGTTTATAATTCAAGTCAATATAGTTTCAGGTCATTCAATATCACATTTTTATGGATATGGAACAAGTCCTTTTACATTTCGGGTCATGCCAAGTTTTGGGGTTTCTTGGTTGGGTCTGATTCACTTACATGCGAAGTAGAGTATTCGGGTTCAGAGTTCAACCATAATCATGTTTCTGATTTTCGGGTACCACCCTGGTTATTTCAGTTTCAAGTGTAGCTAACCCTTGGGTTTCAGGTTATCCGGGGGTTTCATGCTGTTAACTTTTTTGAGTGTTTTCTTTTGAGATAAAGGTTTCATGCTGTTAACTTTATTTGGTAAATTTAGCGGAGTCATGGTTCTGGCTAGTGGGTAAATTGATCTCTAGTAACAGTATTAGCAAATGATTAGAGGAAGGGGTATTAAAGACAAAAAGATAGGTAAGAAAGGGGGAATAAAATCAATACGATACTGAATAGACACAATATATTGAGGTGCTTTATTATCAAATGAAAAGGTGTACTGGCAGAGGAATTGTAAAATTTGATACCTAAGTAATCTTCAACATCAGCTTTAACAATGCGTCCATCAGGACCTGTTCCTTTGATGCTTGAAAGAAGTATCTAATTTTGCAAAAAGCAAAACAAACACCAGTTAGCTATAACTGATTCCCATTGTTGACAGTAACTCGTCAATTGCCATTGACATTCGAAGTCCATTGAGTCACTTCCTAGGACTTACATTTTGCTCTTCAGCTATCTTTCTGGCAAGAGGACTAGCAAAAATACGATCTTCAGCAGGAGCTGTGCTGGGCTTGGAAACCTTTGGCTCTGATGCACTGACTGGTTCCTCCACTACCTCCTGCTTGGCTGGAGTGGGAGTTGATGGCCCTTTTTCTGCGGCAGAACCAGCATTAGATGCAGGACTGTAATCTTTAAACTTTGCAATGTCCTCCTCTTCTTCAACTGTAATAGCAATTACCTACATATAAAACAAAATTGGTACAGACATCTAATTAGGTATCTTCAAATAAAGCACCTTTCTATCATTACTGAGGCGAGGGGACAATGGAATTCGAGGTATACCATAGATGACCATAAGATCTTAAATATTCGACTCTCGAGAAACGGCAGAAAAAAAGAAGAAAGAAACAAATGCCGCAGATAAACATGTGCACATGGACTTTGCATACACGAACAAGTTCATTACCTCACCAACTTTGATCTCTTTGGATCCATCCCCCTTAATTATTCTGGCAAGATAACCTTCTTCCATGCATTCCATCTCAACAGTAGCTTTATCCTTGAGATGTCAATCAAAATAAGGGGAAAAGCAAATATTCCAATATGAGCAAGCCAGATAAATAAGAGACTAAAATAAGTGTTGGAATGGGAAAGACTAGTGGTACAAGAGCCTTACAGTTTCAACTTCACAGAGTACTTCACCGGGAGAAACTTTATCACCTTCTTTCTTCAACCACCTTGCTATATTACCCTGGACATTAGAAAGAAACTTAGAAGGATAAAGACTCAACAAGCTACAGTATTCTGATAAGTCTCAAGAAGATAAGTACCTCTGTCATTGTTGGTGAGAGGGAAGGCATTCCAATCTCTTGGTGTGGAGGAAGATCTGAAAGAGATTATTTACTCCTCAGAAAGACTAATAAGCAATCATATATAAGCTCACCCAAATTTAGTTTCCTGTCGTAACTTTTACTTACTCTCTTATTTAGGATTTATAGTAATGGAATAGCTAACACGATGTGCTTAAAACAGTAGATGCTTTCGGTTACTTAAATCATTTAGGTTCTGACTAGAAAAATAAACAGTTACATATTTGAATAAAGACGCTTATTGTAAACAAATATATATTCTATTTGGAAATATATGTATATATGGGCAGATGGACAAATAACCAAATGTGTTAACATAATAAGTACTTTAGGCTAATACAGAAAAAGTACAGAGAGAGGTTCCTTCTTTGTGCTTAAAGATGTTTATTTGCACTTGCTAAGCTGTCTGCTAATCATCAAATAACAAGAGAGAGTTGAACATCATGAACATGTAACAAGCGGGACCGAACAACCTCTTATTTTTCCATTATAGCTTTTATTAGTTTTCTAACCACATTAGATTCAACATCCTGTTTCAGACAGATTTAGTGCCTTAATAAGAGCCCTTTGCTAGGATTATTAAAAATACAAAGAATTCTTGAGATTTGAGATCTCTTGTTCTTGACCAATTTCTATGCTATTCCTCTGTTTCATTTCCTTTTTGTTTCTTCTCGTAAATCCTTCTTCTCTCTCTATTTTCTCTCTTATTTTCTTCCCTTCTTGGCCTACATCAATTAGTATCACAGCTATCTTTTTCTACTTCTACCTTACCTTTAAGCATGAGCATTCGAATAAAAACTCAATTTTTTTTTTTCTTTTAAAAAATAAATCAATTGCTTTTGAAGTGCAATAAACAGTCGGTTCCAAAGCACTAAATCACATAGAAAAGCAAAGAACTATTGGGGGGGAGGGGAGTGCAGGGATTGGAGTGTTGATGTGATGAAAAACCTCAATGATTGGGAGATAGGAGAATATGAATCTTTACTCCATTTACTTTCTGGTGTGCAGACAAACTCCGATAGGGACCAACTGCTGTGGAAACGAAGAAATACGGGGAGTTTACTGTTAAATCATGCTATGAGCTGTTGATGGGTGAGAATGACACAAGGATGGAATGTTTCCCTGTCAAACAGATTTGGAAAGCTCAGGCTCTACCAAGAATTGCTTTCTTTGCGTACGAGGCCAGTAGGGAATGCATCTTGACAATTGACAACGTGATGAAAAGAGGCAGAGTAATGGTAAATGGTTGTTACTTATGTAAGCAGGTGGCTGAGACTCGCAACCACGTCCTTTTATGGTGCCCTACTTCTTATAACCTTTGGTCTATGGTTTATGGTCTTCTGGAAATTAGCTGAGTTATAGTGGGCTCGGTGAAGGAGGAGATCTGAGCTTTTGGGGGGGAGGGGAGGGGGGGGAGTTTGTAAAAAGAAAAAATGTATAAAACTAATTCCTTTGACTATCTTTTGGGTGGTGGAAGGAGAGAAATAGAAGAGCATTTGATGGGCAGAGAGTGATATGTCAAAGATTAGGGATAGATGACTTTATTGTTTTGGTTCTATTTTTCTAGGGCATGACGTGTATAGGGTAGAAGATATTGGACATGTTATTGATAGTCTTATTGATATGTAAATCTCTTATGTACATGGGTTGAACCCCTTAAGCACCATAGCATTAATATACTGTCTATGCTTTTTATTTTAAAAAAGATATATAGAAAAGCAAAGAACATTTATCCAAAGGAAGAGCAGCAAAAAACATCAAAAGGGCAATGAGCTATACTGTACCTGAACCAGATGAAAATTCTCTCCTTGATAATAGTGAACTGGTAATGGAAGCAAAGAAATAAAAAAAAAAAAAGTTTGTATAAGTAAGGAACCATTGGAAACTGTTAGATAAAGAGAATGTTGAATGTACCTTGAAAGCTCTCTGGTGAATGACGATCCAGCCACTGGATTTCTCAGTTTTGTCATTGTTGGTAGACTCTTCTTCAACATACATGATGATGAAGTCTACAAATCAAGACACATAATATTTAATATTTTGCCAACTGAGGCTCAACTTTAATTAAGAAGATAATTTGACATAATACGAGGTCATGGATGAAAAAGAGGGGAAGGGTAGATAAAAAGTTCTAAAGGAAGTCATCAATCACTCAAAATATAAGAATTTTTTCTCTTTTACTAATAGATATGCAAACTGGACTTACAGTACCGTTAGTGGTAGATCTGGAAACCCTCTCTGCAGGTACATAATCATTGCAAGGTATCTTCATAATATCTGGGAAAAAGGATAGGAGCAAATCTCTTAGTTTCATGCCTGAAAATCTAGATAGTTGATGTTTCACTAATTCTTTCTAGTTCTTCATTGTGAGGTTTAAAGACAATATTTCACTAATTCTTTTGGCATCTTCCATAAGAAAATGGGCTTTGTCCACCTTTCTTTCAAAGAGAAGCAAAAAGTAACATTCAGAATGGTAACTGGGTGCAGATCATATATAAAAGATTTCATACAAAAAATAGAAAAATTATAAGGTCCAGAAGTTCTTCATTGTTGGTGAAAATACAGCCAGCAATCCAAAAGTATAGGTATTCAGAAATAGATTTCTAGGGCTATGAAAAGGGGCTTGCAAACTTTATACAGAAGACTTCTGAAGACTAGGTTTTGGGGGTTTGGAATGGATAAGCCAAGAAAGCTTCCTGACAGGAAAACATCAAACTATAACCCTCCACCATTTCAGGGGAAATAACCATGCAATTTTACAACTGACATGGACTATACTTGTCGAGATGTAAACAAATACATTGAATAATCTGTGGAACTGAATCATAGAGGAAAAAAGGGCAATGTAAAAGAGAGAGTCAGTTATATTGTTATCTTATGCAAATATTAGCATAGATAATGCAGTCATAAAAACCTGTAAATCCTATGCTTAACATAAAGAAAATACTTTTTATTGAGAAGCACATAAAGAGAGTATTACTGATCAGCTCCATAAACCATACATGGTAATTTGTGATTCCCTTCTGATATTTCCAGCTAATGACATGCCAAATTTTTGGTGAAACCCCAACACATGGAAGAAGGATAGTAATAGGAAAATTTTAACAGATATTAACTATATGCATAAATCTGCCAAGCAAGCTTGGTTCCCAAATCAGCTAGCTAACAACAAAGAGCCATTTTATACAAGACCAGTGCTAATAAAGTATGCCTTATATCATTAACACTAGCTAAGTACCTTCTCTTTTAGCAAAAGTTGAATTGGCATCATTGGAGAACCAGCGAATCAATACTGCATGTTCACGGCGAAGCAAGTGGGAAACAGTTTGTAGCTGCAAAAAATACATTAACACTCAGAATAATGTGCATGTCTTTTTTAATTTGAAGACTAAAATATTTAAAACCTATGACGAACATATATTCATCGTATTAAAGAACAAACCGAGATAGCAACAGATTAGAGGTAACATAAGCCTAAGCAGGAGTACCAAATATTATGCAATCTTAAGATGCTTATGACATTTTCATTGTTTTCTTGGAGCAGCAGAAGAACAACTCGGCTACCTTGCATTCATTCTTCTTATATCCTGGTTGTCATCCAGGTCAAGAGTCAACTGAAGTAAAAGTGAAGCGAGATTCTCCCAGCCGATGGTGGTGTCCAAGAGAATATACATGCAGATGATTTGGAGTGCAACGTTCCCACGTCCTACCTCACGTTGCCTAATAGAAGCTAAGTTAATGGATTTGGAGGTCTACAACCAGATTATTGAGATGTCTGGGAAGAAATATCTAGATGGGAGAGACCTTATCTTCTAAGAGTGGATGTTCACTTTGATAAGAAGTAACCCAGGGTATTTCTGTCCTCTGTCCTTTTGAATTAGAGTAACTAAGGGACTGGGAGAATTCATCGAAGGTTCTGCGGTGGTGATATGACGGAAGAGCTTAAGCAACACTTTGTAATGTAGGGAAAAAAAATCAGTTGGGAGAAGTGGGTAAGGTGTAATGTCTCTTACTACTTCAACAAAGCATGTCCTTTATTACTTCATTAAAGCACTATAATATCAATTTTTGTGGATGATTCTGATGAATTGGGGAGCTTGTGAAGGAGAGATAACAATGCCAGGTTTGGAATTTAGCACCTTTGTTGGTTCTTGAACGAGAGAAAATGATAATTGTAGGATTTGGGCCGTGAGATTGGGTTAGAAAGAATATGGATACTCCCTCCTGTTGGTACAAGAATTGACATAGGTTATGGTATTAAAACATTTATTCCTGGATATTTTTGGTTGCTACCCCTATAGAAGTCCAACTTCACATCAAATTTGCAATTCCAATCATGAAATTATTGGAAATTCACAGCATCAGGATAGAAGCTTCAAATCACATCAAGACTGGTCCTAGTTACACTTGAGCTATAACATATCCGGATTCTTGAATTCAAAAATATTGAATTCTCATATAGCCAAAAACAGCTCTGAAGAAGTTCATTTAACATCAAAGAACAATTAAATTAGCAGTTAATATGCTTGGAACAGCGAGTCCATTTTTTTTCTGGGGAACGTCAATTTAGACTGGAAAGGTAATGGTAATGGGATTTACTTGTCTTCTTTCGATCAGAAACAAAAAAAGTCTTTAAGAAAGATAATATTTGCCTGTCTACGAAAGCTAAATGCTATAACAACAATAGTCGGAAAATGACTTAACCTGTCTGTGAAGTTGAACTGAACAATGTGCTATACTATGATACATTGCCACTAAGCCTAGGAGCAAAATTATCAACTTAAATACACCGAGCAAAAAGAGCATCAAAAACAAAAATTATGTATAAAAAAACCAAATTCTACAAGAAAAATTAGTCAGAAAATGACTTAAACCTACCTGTGAAGTTGAACAGAACAATGCATTCAATTATGGTGAATTTCCACAATAAGCTTAGGAGCAAATTATCAATGCGAACACACACCAAGCAACAAGAGCATAAAAAAACAAGACAAGCAAAAGGAAACCAACATGATTAAAAACTAAAAATCATAAAAAAGAAGAAATAATAGTAAATAAAATCTTTGGCAGTGACACTACAAAACTTAAAATGTTGATGTTGACAAAAGCATAAGACATGAGATGTGGACAAGAATTATGGTTACCTTCTTCGAGTGATTGATAATATGAGATGCGTATGCCATGGTTCACCTCTCCAATACAGTTGCCCAAGGAAGTGTAAGATCCTTTCCAGGAAATGCAGTAGAATATCTGAAAAATGAAATAGGAAAATTAATAAACAAACGGGAAACTAATGAAAACAATCATCTAGGGCAGCTTGCGCAGTTCACATATCTAGTTTTGACTGATAGGGCTGGTGATTTAGCAGTCTTCAGTCTATACATCACTCTATTGTCCACACACATCCACCACGACACAAATATTATAGGAGCAAAAAGAAAATGCTCTATCGTAACATAACTACAAGTTTATCTACACAAACGCCCAGATAAGTAACTTTTCTACTTTCTGTGAATCCATATTCCCACACTTAACTTCCAATGGTATACACTTAACTTGCAATGATATTCCAATCTAAAACAAATTTCTTACACAATTTCAAACTGCTAAGCTACACTAAATAGGCGTAAATAAAAAAATGCGGCAAAAAATACTTTAGTATACAAAAAATTCTTTGCTATTTTTGCTCTCCAAGATAATCGAAGTAATAAAAGAAAACAACAGAGTGACTCTCATCCTACGCGTTTTGTCATCCCTCTGAACAAAATCAATCCAGCCAATAATGTACAGTAAATCCACACTCAGCGCACGACGCTTTAGTATCTGATAATGTCAATTCCCCATATATCAAAATATGGCTTAAAACCGAAACCTAAACACTATTATCAACATTCAACACGTAATTCGATCACGAAACGAAAAATCTGCCACAAAAAGAGCTGAAAGAGAGCTATATTTCACGAACGCAAAACCAATACTCAAAGACAAAAATGTTCAACACGATAACAGATGAATTATAGATCGGGATAATTAACCTTCCATCACCAGCTCAATCAACAATAACTCCATCAACGCAACCTCATTTTCATCCAAACGAATAACACTTTAACAAGTTCACCGCTACATACAGGGGATAAAGCACAGAGATACACCAGAGAACACTATGCATGAACATATCTCTACATGACATATAATACATACACAAACACATACAAAAAGCTGAGAAAGATAGAGGGAAAAGTGTGACCTGCTGCTTGACGGAGATGAAGGTAAATGTCTCTTTGGATCTGCCCGTCTGCGCCGTGGAGATGAAAAGAGAGGAAGAACCTTTTCTCGCGTCTGAGAGTACTTGGATGTTGAACGTTTACTTTACATTAAAAGCATTTTATTTATGAAATTAAAAATGATATTATTGGACCGAAAAAATTGAAATTTAGCAGGTACAAAATTTCTGTTTATATAAATTAAAATATTATATTCAGATTATTAACTGTAACTAAATTATACTTAACTGAATTTACATAAATACCCAATACTTATTTTTTTGTTTTGGTTATTTACCCATTAAATATAGGATACATCTCAAACTACTGGAACTATTAATTTTCTTAAAAATATAATTTAATATATATATATATATATATCTCTCTCTCTTGTGTATTAGGAAAGAGTCAATTTCCCATCTCAAATTTTATTAAAAATGGATACCTACAGTCTGATCTAAATATCAAGTGTGATTAGATATATATTTTTAGTATATTTTGTATTGTTACTAAATTTATTATTTTAAATTTTAAATAATTTATCATGATATAATTTAATCATATATTTTTTTTAATTTTATTCCTAAGTTTATAAAATTATTTCAATTTATAATTTCTTTTACACATTTCTAAATCTTTTCATAGATCATAACATAAAAATTTTTGTTCTGTTCGTGTAAAATCACAAACCAAATGTGTGGTGTGATTTTGATTGAATACATTAATAATTTGAGCAGTAAAAATTGTAATGTTCCAGTTCTACATGATAAAATATGTGATTATTAAAATTTATATGTGAATTCAAAAGGTACAATTGAGGAAACTAACTTTTTTGCATAAATTTCACGCCCTGTTACCCTTCTCTGGCCTCTCACGAAGTCAAGTAAAAGACAGAAATTTCGAATAATTTTAAATGGCAGGTTGGCTGGAGGCTTTTTGGTAGTCAAATTAATTCGTTGACTAAAATTTGTTTTAAGTTTTCAACACCTCGGATCTCATGCATAAAGAATCTTTCTTTCCTTGGAATTAAAGATAAATAAAAGGATTTCTAGTTTTGTCAAATTTAATTAAATATTTTTATCATGTATACTCAAAAAATTATAAATATTAAATTCATATAGAATTTTGGGTGAGACTAAAATAATGAATTGTAATTTCTTATCATGTTGAATTCTGTACAACCCTAAAATTCAGATTGTTTTATCACATTTTTCTCAAATATGATATAAAAAGGCATCATATAAAATTATACGTAAAGTTTTAGTAAAGATTAAATTTTTGCTATCTTCGCTCTCTAGTAGATGAATTTTGTGTGAATTCAGAAACGAATTCCGCAACGGATTCTTTTTTTAGTTTGTTTCAAGATCTGTTCGAACCAAGAAACTCTCAAATGCATATTCCTCCTCAACAAATCAAGATTAATTGATCATACCTGTCGTTAATTTCGGTAGACATGATTTCCTAAAGCAACTTCACAAATGTCAACTGCTCCCCCTGGACCAAGAAATTTACAAACAGGTTGCAAAATTTAAAAGATTTTACCACTTACAATCTACAAAGTCACGCCAAGATAACAGCTTCCCCATTAGAACCTGCAACAGTAAACCCAGAAGAAGAAAATAAGATATGGTCAGATACAGGAACAACTATAATATGTAGGCAGACACAAACAGGCAGTGCTTTGATATTACATTGCTCGTAGAGTTGTTTCACTATCTGTAGCGTTGAATCAGCATCTTCTGCCATCTTCGAGACACGTTCTGCTTCCTTAACTGCTTCAGCAGCCAAAAATGATTTGTTTTCAGCTTCAGCAACTTTATAGGCTGCAGCCATTGCTGCTTCCTCCACCATATCACCAGATGCCATTGACCCTAAACTCTGGGGTCTTTGTGCCCTGACATCTTTTTGTTTTGGGGTAGGTGTTTTTGTCACCAATGAGGCATCATTTCTGATCTTGTAGCAATTTTCTACCTGCATTGAGCAGTATCGACAAAGGTGAGTAACTCACATGAGACAGAATCATACCCAAGTCCATGGCATTGAATATTGACTTCAGCACAACTAGTTATCCTGCAATTCTACATAGTTCCAAACTGCAAGAAGCACAGTCCAATAAATGCTCTACACAAAGGTCAGCATGATTGGAGAATCATTCAGAAGTTGGCAGCCATTCAAGATGGTCTTGAGCAAGTTAAACTAAAAGAGTGATGAAAAAACTCTTCACGAGTAAACTTGGCAGAACATATATCAAAGTCTCAAGAAGTTCAAACATATTGCTTCTTATTTCAGAATTCAGTTTTAAATTTCAGGAATGTTCAATGTACGAAAGAAAAATGATGCATTCTACCGAACCTTCACATAAGTTAAAATAAAGAAGAAATTTGAGAATTTCGAACTCAGCTCACGTGATACCAATCTGCAAAACTAACTCATGTCCTTCATCTCATTTTACTGGTCCACCAACCTGATTGCTATAGATTGAGAAAAATGCTAAAAAGATACTAGCATGAAAGAATCATGTATTTATTATGTAAGACAGCTTTACTCTTTCCAATATCCAACTATAGTTGGTGTCATAATGCACATATAACCAACACTTTTGAGGAATAAAAGACTCAAAAATGGCAGAAAGCTGTTGCATGGAACACTTACCTTTTCAAGTTTGCCTTGAGCAACAAGTCTTCTCAATCTTGAACTTATCGACCTTCTAAAATTTGGTGGTACCTCCTGTCTTTGCTGCAATAAGTGAATCAAGACGGTCACGTACTACTCAGAATATGGATGTGACAACAATCAGCCGCTAGAGAACAATAACGAAAGAGAAAAGCAAAAATCACCCAGAGATAAATTAATGAATACATGTCAATCCAGCCACATTACTTTAGTAAGGAAATTACAAAGAAACCAAGCCATGAACAATTAGAAGGTCCTAGTGTCAGATGCTACACTATTTTCTCAAAAGAAGTAGAAAGAAACAGAGGCACGGAAATTACAGGACATCAGCTTGTGTTGAGGTTAAGAAACCACTGTATGTGAGTTCTGTTTCTTTTCTAATATTTAATTCAGTTAGCACGTCTACTTCCTTATATCCAAACACCTTGGAAAATTGTTGTCTCCAACCAGGTTAAGAACATTCTGCAATTAATATAGCTACTTTACGACGTAATAGGTTGTGATAAAATCAGAAGATGACATATGAAAGAATTACATTCATCTGACCTCAATGTAGTCAACAATGGCACCAATATCAGCTCCATTTTTATCTTTTGTGGTTGAAAGAGCTTCAAAAATCATGGCATTATACCTGAAAAACAAAGGGAAAAGGCGAGAACAAAGAAATTAAAACTGTTTGATTGGGTTTTCCAACATCTAGCAGAAAAAGAGACATGAATAATCATCATGGGAAGGAGCAATTTGAAAGTGATGCAGCATAAACATTATGTAAAACAAAACTCACGTGGATATGGATTAAAATAAAGTGAACAGAAAAGATGAACCTAGGAGCATTATTCCCATCGATGCTGTTTGAAGGATCATCCATGGCAGTACCAGAAGATGCATTATGAGCAACTGAAGCTGATGGAGCCAAATTTGGAGCACCGGGAACTGCAGTAGCAGTGCCAGCAGCAGTAGCAGTGCCAGCAGCCGCAGCAGCAGCTGCTGCTGCTGCAACAACAGCTTTTACTTTAGGTGTCTTCGACTTGTCTTTAGAGCCTGACCCGCCAGTGCTGACACTTAAGTTTCTCCATTTGTCCTAATAAGATGAGAAAACAGATTGCAATAAACCATAATAGGTTAAAGCATTACATAAGTTAAAAAGCAAAACAACAACTGACACACTGCTTATGCTTAATCATACTTAGGCTTCAAGCACATTCAAATGTAATAGGAAAACTTAGAATATTCCAACATTAAAAAGTATTCACACTCTTTCATTGTCAGATGGATAGTTTAGGCATTAAAAGTGATAGAAGAAAACCGCAAAATTCTTAAAACTAAATAGAAAGAAAACCTTCACAAGGCTTGTGATTCCATGGGGTCAAAAGGAGAGCAATTGGCTGGAAGTACAACTCAAAGGGTTGTCCAGGACTGCAGGCTTGTAAAATTATCTTAGCTTGATTACAGCACAATGTAGATGAAAGCATACGGAACATGTAAAACAAAATTGATTCTGGAAATCACCAAGACAAACATGATAACAGTAATTAATTATCACAGTGTATAGCAATGAAGTTGATAGGGAAAATTTTTTTGCTTTATTAACTGAATATTCTTAGAATCAACTCTATGACATATGAAAATTACTTCGAATGTCACATCTTCCACCTTAATTCAGGCAATTCTAAATCAATCATATGATTTCCTAAGTCCAGACTTTTTGATAAAAGACAAGGTCAAATCAAACCTTTGGTCAAGTAACTAGCAAGATCCCAATCAGGCAGCTCCTATGGCCAACAAGGAAATTGTTCAAAACCAATTCCTCAATTTCAGTTAAATACCAAGACGCATACGAATTGAGAAGAATATAATCTTCACAACCAAACGAACTCTTCCACAGCATAAATCTTAACATTCTTTACCACCAAACACCTCCAAATAGCCATCTTTTCTATAGCATTTTGTTTCAGCTATATACAGTAGTACCTAGAAATACTGCAGACACATCAGCACTACCCATTCTCACTGTGGAAACAACCACACACGTAGTCATTTTCCTATTTGTATGCACATATAAAAACATGGACATACAAATGAGTTCCATGCTTTCTTGTGGAACTCCATTTTTCCAAAGAAAGCTCGCATTCAGAATTTTCATTTCGAGGCTGTCAGAATTTCTGGTTTCATCACTAAATAGCCATCTTCTCTATAGCATTTTGTTTCAGCTATATTCAGTAGTAACTAGAAATACTGCAGACACATCAGCACTACCTATTCCCACTGTGGAAACAACCACACATGTAGTCATTTTCCTATTTGTATGCACATATAAAAACATGGACATACAAATGAGTTCCATGCTTTCTTGTGGAACTCCATTTTTCCAAAGAAAGTTCGCATTCAGAATTTTCACTTGGAGGCTGTCAGAACTTCTGGTTTCATCACTAACTGCGGACAAAGAAATTCAATAGAGAACTAAATAACATGAACAATATTTCAAAACTTGGCACTTCAATAACTTCCGGACCATAACAGAAGACAAAGAAATCTTCCCGGGGAAAAGTCGCATAGAACTTCCCTCGAACCAAGCGTTGTCAAAGAGCCTAACGGATATTAGGGTTTCCCTGGCACGGACATATAGTGAGGGAGACTAATTCAATTCAATTTCCTCGAACACAATCACCCCAAGGTTATTGATACCCGCAACAAACCAAATCAGTTACCCGGGAAATCAAAAAATTTCCAGAGAGTCAATCATAACGCTCAGAGAAAAAAAAAAAAATGAAAGAGCTCTATCTGAGAAACAAAAAAAAAACAAAAAAAAAAAGAAAGGGCGGGAGGAGAGAGAGAGAGAGAGAGAGAGAGAGAGAGAGAGAGAGAGGGCTAGGAAACCTTGAGGTCAATGTTCGATCGATTAGTGAGGGAAGGCGCGAAATCAGGATCCTTGAGGATATTCTTCCACTTTCCCGGGCCGTGCTTGGCAACTCCCGCCAGCAGCGCCTCCTCCTCCTCCGCCGTCCACTTCTGCTTCTGATTTCCCATTCTATCCTTTCTCCCGCCTCTCTGTGTGAACACACTTCTATATGTCCATATATGAAACCAAACTTCCGTCGGCTTTTCTGCTGTCCATTTTCTTGGCCTGTTTCAATTCTCACAGGAGAAAAAGGACAGAGCGAAGCCACCTGTGTCTCTCTCGCCTGACTTCTATCCCTCTCCTCCTCTTAAACTATTTATTTATTTATTTTTGTTTTCCTAATTTTTTTTAGTTTAAAATACAGTCAAATATTATTTAGTTTAGTTCTCAAATCTTAATCGAAATACTACCAAGAAAATAGTAAATTCAAATATTATAAAAATAGTGAATTCATAAATTATTTGATTTTGTTGTCAAAATTTGATTAAAATACTATAAAAAAATATCAATTCGTTTAATTTAATTCATAATTTATATAATAAAAATAAAAAAAATCGTTTCTCGTATAATTATCAATGTATTAATAGAAGATTTAAAAGCTACTGTAACTCATTACTTTATCGAGTGTAACTTTAAATTGAAAAATTATTTAAAATATTGTCAAAATATCAGTATCGTTAATTTAATAGTCAAACGTATAATAAGTTAATTTATAATTTTTAATATTATATTTGAATTCAATATTTATTTTAACTTATGTTTGTGATGATATAATTTTTTTAAAAAAATTCATAAATTAAAAATTCATACAACAAAATAATAAGATATACTAGACATAAATTATGAGTTATTTTAATAAAACTTTATCAAATCTCAATCCTAATTGAAATTAATAATGTTTAAAAAATATAATAAAATAAAATTATTTTTTAAAAAATATTCATTTTAACTTTAAAATCGAATCAAACTCCATTATTAATCTATCATCTATCTAATTTATTTTCATTTTGAATTAAGTACTTTTAAGTTAATATATTGAACTTACACAAGATAAAAAGTTTAAAGTTTTTTTAATATGGATGATACAATTACCAAGGTAAAATTAATATGTAATGTTAATTTGTTTAAAATATATTTAAGAAAATTAAAAATTAAAAATGTTAATTTTAAATTTGAACATTTTATGACTATGTCACTTAAATTCATAATTATTTATTCAAGTATAAATTTATTTTAAAACTATATAAAATATAACATTTTTATGCTATTTCAAGTTATATTACAAAAAACTAACTCATGTAATATTTAATTTATAAATTTTAAAAACATAGCGAATAAAAAATTATTATTTTTAATTAAAATTTTAAGGATAATATAAAATATATCATGAATAAAAATAATTTTATAAATTTAGAATCTAATTATAGCAAAATAAAATAAAATTAAGAGGACAAATATTTCAGGTGACAAAATAGTAATTCGTGCTAAATTATGGTATTAAAAAATTGAAATTGATAGTTTGTTTTTATGCCGTCACCGTTACCGTGAAGCAGAGTGCTGCTTAATAAGTAAAAGCCGAACTGCCGAAGCTTGGCGTCGCGGCCTGCACCGCAACAGTTTCCGTTTTCCAAAATCTGAACCAATTTCTGTTGATTCATGTCTGTGTCGCTGGCTCCCATCACCCGAACTCTCAATCGGAGTCACGGCCATGTCATTCACCGTCACTTTCTCACTTCCCTCCATCTCTTCTTCTCCTCAAGGCCAGTCAAAAATACTCAAACAACTTCTCGGTCTCAGCAACCCCAGTTTCAGAAGCTTCCTCCTCAAGCGCCAGCCTTCTCATATTCAATCGCCTTTTCCTCTATTTGCTTCTAGAAAAACCACCTCCAACATCTCTCAGGTTCCTTCTCTATATGTGTGTATGTATATATGTATTCGTGTTTGTGTACATATTGATTTGCGATTTCTATTTTTTTGTGTAGAGGAATAATGATCTTGTTGATGATCCACGCAGTTGGAGCCATTCGATCGCGCCAGACTACCATGAGGATGACGAAGACGAGGACGTCGATGATGATGAGGAAGAAGATAGGAGTTTGGATCTGCTAGTTAGATTCGTTCAAAATGTGTTCAAGAAGATCTCCAAAAGAGCAAGGAGAGCCGCACGGTCAGTTCTGCCTCCTTCCATATCTACGAAACTGGTAAAATACTTATTTTTCCTTGGCTATTTTAGTAGTTTAATGCTTGAAATTTTGAAATTGAAATTGGTATAGCATGAGCTCCAATGTGTTTCAATGTCGTGTTTGTTTGAAGTAGGTGGGTTTTACGGTGAACGGGGTCCTGATACTAGCGTTTCTGTGGGTCTTGAAGGCGTTTCTCGAGGTAATATTTTTTTGTCCGACTATTTTTGCTTTGGAAGGGACCTGAAGGACCAAGCAGGCTTGAGAATGAATTTGCGGTTATTCTAATCCATTGGAGTTTCGTGAATTTATAATTGAACGTTTGTCTTCAATGCTAATAGGGAATTTTGAGTCAAAATTGTTTTGTCCTTTAACTGTTAAATTGCACTAATCTAAAATGGATTCTTCATTTTACCAATAATAATCCATGTTTAATTATGTGTTCTCGCATGGACACAATTAGTCTGATATCTCTTGTTGATTGAAGCACAATCTCGTAATAATCTGAAAAATTAGAATAGGGCATAGATTACCCTGTAACTTTGTGGTGTGACTATCAAATAAAATGTCAATTTTAAATAATTGATTAGGTGATGAATTATTATAAGAGCTTAAGTGACACAGAAATTGCTTAATTTTGCTAGTTATATTGTAACAAACTCCCTCATGTATAGCAGGATGATGGCATAATATGTGAACTTCTTTTTAGAAATAAAGCATAATATATGGGCATGCAAACCATATGAATGCACAAGTCATTAGATTCAATGGTAAAATGCATGAACATCCAATTATGGAAAAGGAATGAATACGGTTGAGGTGGGGCTTCAACATTTGAACTTGAACCCACAATTTTAATTTTGGTACTATATTAAATATTTTGGTTGGGTGATTATTGTTCTAAGAACTTGAGGTAGAAAGTCATTAATTAGCAGCTATTTCCTAGTCATAAAGTTCCATAGAAAGTATCATTTGGTTAATTGGGAGGAGGTCAAAAAACCGATTCATAGTGGTGGCTTGAGGATAAGATCTCAAATTCAACATGAATTTGGCTCTTTAAAGAAAATGGCTATGGAAGTTTTTGAATGAGGATTACAAGCTGTGGAGAAAATTGTGCTGTACTGGGGCCAGCTCTAGGCCTCATGGACGAGGCTTGTGGAAGAATATAATGAGACAATGGCCGAGGTTCCTTAGCTGCATCAAGTGGAATATGGGGAAAGGGGACAAAATCAGATTCTGGTTTAACAAATGGATTGGCGATGACAGATTGCAGAACAGGTTTCCCAGAATTTTTTAGATTGCTCATTCGAAATTGATGGTGGTGGCATAAGCATGTCGGATTTGCAATGATTGTGTTGAATGGTCTGTTAGAGTGAATAGATATTTAAATTATTGGGAAATTAAAGAGTTTGAAGCGCTTTTGTCAATTTTGGAAAAGCAGAATGTGAAAGAGGGCTCGGATCAGGTCTTCTGGAAATTAGAAAAAAGGGGAAACTTTTTTGTCCAGTCATACTACAGATTCCTGTTTGGTGGGGATGCGGAAGACATTGGGGATTTCCCCTTTAAGCAAATTTGGAATTCTAAAGTTCCTCCAAGAGTGGTTTTTTTTTGCTTGGGAAGCATGTAGGGAAAGCATTCTCACCATAGATAAATTAAGGGGGAGGGGGCAGATTATTGTTAATAGATGTTATTTTTGTATGTGTGCTGAGGAAACTTGCCATCAATTACTTTTATGGTGCCCCGTGGCTTATAATTTATGGGGTACGATTTATGAGCTGCTGGGGATTAATTGGGTTATGGCTGGGAATGTTAGGGGAGAAATTTGGGCTTGGGATGGGCTAAATATCAGTAGCAATGTTACTACTTTGGTTCAATTGACCATTTTTTGGGTTCTTTGGAAAGAAAAAAGTACTAGAGCATTTGAAGGAAAAGAAATAGGGTTGTATAAAAATTAAGAGATATGTGGATTAACTATTTTGGAATAAAGCTTGTTAGGGCATGATATTTTGAGTGATGAGGATTTTGGAAATGTCATTGACATGCTAACTACACACTATAAATCTTTTGTAAATAGGTTGGTACCCCCTTTTTTTGGTACTGTGTTAATATACTCTTTACATTTTTACTTAAAAAAAAAAAAGTTCCATCTCTTTTCAGTGAAAATTAATTTGGAAGTAGTAAAATGGAATATGATATGTATAATTATGGTTTTTGCAATCCGTTGGAGGGTACTTTTAGACTGCTCATCCCTTTTTGGATAACAATGGGATGATACCAGTTAATTCCTCTTTTTGGGGAATAAAATGCAGACAGTACCTGTATTTGGGTGTATGGTCCAAATTTTTGTTTCAATGAACGTCTTAAGCTGCAGTTATAGGCATGTGATTTGTCACTTCTTAAATTTTTAGAAATGCATTTTACATTTTGTGCACCATTTGGCCCTTTTGCAATTTAAAACTTCGTAAAGTACTACTATCCTTGTTTGCAATGAGTACTTTGCAAACCAAGTTCATTTAGTAGGATGTTTTGTTATTTTTGTCTCTAATTTTCTGCAGATTTTGTGTTATATCTAGGTGGTGTGCACTCTTGGAAGCATCGTATTTGTAAGCATATTACTTATACGTGGTATATGGACGGGCATAACCTATTTACAAGAAAGTCGTAACTATAGGAGCAATGAATTTAATGATGAACACCATGCATGGTCCAGGGCACAGCCTGTGCCTTGATATGTGCACTCTGAAGCAGAAGCATGCAATCTGTCCAAACACAAAAAATGGCAACCTTTAGTATTTTGATCAAGGAAGAGAAGAAAATGACACCCAAAAAGGTTTTAATCATTGGAAATAACCATTTACTGCAAGTTTGAGGGATTTAATGGTATGAGATAGCTTCCCATATGAATTTCTGGAACAAGATATTCTCATGTAGTATCCATGGAAAACTAGTAATAAAAGCTGGGGAAAGCTTTAGTTGTTTGCATACACCACAATTCTTCATGGAAAAACACCTGTTATAAGTCATGAGAGTACCTTAAATGTACCATAGATATGATATGCGTAAGTTAAGCTTGTCTACAACAACAGCATCAGATATATACATTCTTATCCTTTCTTCAACATTTTGTTGTCACTGTGCTTCTGCAATTACTATTTTTTTTATCAATGCTTTGGTTTCATGATGCTGTCTTGTCTTCATTTTGGATGGAGTATCTTGCTGTAGAGTACATTGTCATTCTCACCTAATTTTTTATTCTTAGTTTCGTATTTTGTCCTATTACTGAGAATTAGAATTTAACTTTCATATTTCATCTCATCCCACCTTAAAAAGAAATTAGATGAGTGAATGTGAGAGCAAACATAAGAGTCAAGGGCCATCCATGCTTGAGGATAATTATAATTCTGTCGGTGGTGTTTGAGTATAGCTGTAATCATATTGTTGATGACTGAGTATAAATGGGATACTTGATTCTTTTGTAATATGAGCTTGATCCTGTAAAACAAAATCATTTAAAAAAAAATTTCCTTCAGAAAATATTATTATTACAGGCAACCAAGCTTTAGGTTCCATTGTCACGATATAGGAAAAAAACGAAAAGAAAAACCAGTCCAATGGAGAGTAAAACAGAAATCGCAGAGAGAAAAGGGTAAAGATCAAGAAATAGAACTGAAGGGCTTGTAAGAATGCAAGCCAACAATGAGGCCTTCAATAGAGGCAACAAAAGCTAATGCAGAGATGAGGAAGCAAATGGTGCTCAAGACCGTAAGAGCTATCCAGTGGGTAGAATACTTTTGAACCTTAGCCTGTGAAAAATGCATCTTGATGGGAAAATAGACAGTCAATGGCCAGAATGTGAAGGCTCCAATCAGACCCAAAACGTTATTGAAGAAGGGAAATATCATGGCCATTAGAGCTGTGAATATCACGTAACCTGTCCTCCAAAACAATCTGAACATGTTCACATTCTGATTTCCAAACCCAGGAATATTCACTGAATAACCTTTTGTTATAAGATTGCTGTCTGGTCGCAGTTTGCTGCACCAGTTTTCTACTAGCCTGTACACTGGTTGGCTGAATACCTGACAGACATCACAAAAATTTTAATTTCTTCTTCTTCAATCAATTCTTGTTTGCTTCTAGTTTTAACTATTGTTGTGAACAGATTAACGATTAGTTTTTACCTGATAAGCTCCCACCAGATGAACAACAACACACATGTTGGCGAAGTCCAAAAGCCAGAAAGGTTCATAGAAACCAAACCCAGTTAGGAAATTGCCCGGTGATTCATTCCCAAACGCAGCATATCCCAAAATCCCGCACAACATGTAGAACATTGTCGTAACTGACACACTAATGGTCGATATCTTTCTCATTACTTTATTCTCAGCTGGCTTTGATTTTAGTGTGTCCTACAAATCCACCCAACAAAGTTATGTTTGATATACTAAATTTCTTTTTGTTGAAATTTAGATATAGTTAAAAATAGATACCATAACACTCTCGTAAAAGAGGTAATGACTTGAGTTTGAATACTAACTTTATTCCAGTTTCAGAAGGAAAAAAATTCCCTATTACATAACTTGAAATTTGAAAAGACTGATTTATAGTTTGAAAGAAGATTGAACTTGCCTGGATCTCGATGAGAATAACAGAGAAAGAATAGGCAAAGGCAATGTTACCAAGAGCCTGTAATAAATTCCAAATCTTCTCTGCCTTTGTCACATCCACTCCAACTACTGTTCCTGTGATACTAGACTTAACAGGCTTCCCTTCTTCAAGACACAAAATCGAATTCACAAACTTAGTACATTTCTATATGGTTAGTAAATACAATTTAATATTGACCTCTTTTTTTTAAAAAAAATTATATTATAAAAGAGTTATTTCTCATGTTTTAATCCCTCTGGGTATATCTGTATATGATGAACTTTGTTATGGTTAGTAATGAACCTGCAATTTTGGCAATGGAGAGGCCGAG